TTACAAATGTATAACTATTTCGACTGAACTATGGCATTCCGCGTTGTTGACTGTCGGTCCACTCGACTCTGGCATTATGCCGTCGTAGCATCTATTTACTCCAAATCGACTAATCCAGAGCCTTTCAGACAGCTTGTTAGATGATGTTTGATGGTTCTCGATGGCGGTAGATGTTTTCCGATGAATGTCGAAGGTTCGCCACGGAGCCGGAAACGCTCCCGATTGCAAACGCGTCGCGTAATTCTGGTTGCCTAAGCGTCAATGTTGCGAGAGTGTCTCATCACAATACATTCTCACGGAATTTTTGGAGATTCTTATACACAAAAATCGGTGGTGTTATCAACAAGAGCCTACAGAGAATTAAGGTCGCCACTTCAGAAGTTTCTCTTGGCCAAGTGAGTCTCGCGTTGATACTTTCTATCAGCAAAATCAGCATTCAATACTTATCGTCGACAGACAAGACTTGCTGTTAAAAAACTGTACTCAAATTGGTTCATCTCTTTGTCATTTTCACTTCCCACGCCTACTGGGGCGGGAAAGTATTGTTATCGCGAAAATTTTCGAAACTGTGATAGTATGTTTTCTGGATGTTATATGCCATTTACTTCACGAAAAATCATGTCACAGATTTCCGTCCGTCTGTATGACTGTCGGTTTGTCCGCTAATCTTATAACCGCCTGTAACTTGAGAAGTAACGCTCGGATTTCGATGAAATTTACAAACAATGTTATGACTATGCCAAGGACAAAAGCTTTGTGGTTTTAGAAAATCGGCCCAGTGGCGCCGGGAACAAGGCTAAAAACGACAAAAATAAAAATCGCCAAAACTTCGTTTTTTGACATTTCAGATGGCCCCGATCATTTTCTGAAAACATTTAGTGGAGCTTAAAAATTTGAGATTAGGGGTTGCAAGTGGTGGGGGTTAGTACATCTTAATTTTTTGAGGGATGCTTTTCAGCTCTGCATTGCACCAATAAGCGTGATCGAATCTCAAAAAATTGCTGAGCAAAAGGTTATGCCTTACTTAAACTTCTATGTAGGACCTATACTTTTTAATATAAGTATATCTTGCAGACCTTTGCAGACATCCCTTTGAGGGAGATATAGTTAGTTTTGCTGATGATGTAATGTATACTTCCAGTTGGGATGAAACAAGGTCGCCGATAGACTGGTGTTTAGAAGAAATCAAACTCTGGTTTGACAGTCGAATATTGAGGATAAACTTCAGCAAAATTAACTACATACCTTTCTGGTGTTACAGTACCAACTTACCTAATTAAAGAATACTTAATACAGCAGTGGATATTACTAAACGTGAGATTGTGTCAGTACAAAATATAAAATACCTGTGATGCCCATATGAGATGGGATGCGCTCATTGAACATACAGTAAGAAAATTACGTTCAGTACTATATAATATCAGCTATCTATGCAGTTTGTTGATTATTGCACAGCTTCGCACTGTATATTATCGTCTAGCACAAAATCACCTTGGCCATGGAGTGATTGCTTGGAAAGCAACAAATGTTACATATATCCTGAATTTAGAGATTGTCCCTAAATGCATTTTGAGAACAATTTTCAAAAAACCAAAGTTATATTCATCAGATTTAGTATTTTAGGAATCAATTTTTTTATGTTTGTCCATTATATTAATTTGTATACAGTACTAATAACGACTCATAGTGACAGAAATAGGTTGTCAACAGTAAATCATACTTGGATACACGGAACAAAAATCTTGTAGAGGTCTCAAAACGTTCTGCACAGATTGTATAGTTTTCTAGGACCTAGATATTATAATCTGCTCCCTCGAGAGCTACAGCACATAAATTCTATTGGACTATTTAAGAATAGGATAAAAAATGGATAATGAATATGAGAGGAATTCAGTCACACCAATCATTGATATTTTTTTCTATACTCAGACTACAGTCAGAGACCGTCTACCTGTCTACCACCTATGGACAATCACAGCATCCATAGCCAAGAGAAAAATTTATCTTGGGACGGGATTCAAACCCTCGCAGCGCACGGCGACTGATCAGCACTGCGGCCACCGCTGCTGCCTTAAATCTAGAACTGTATTGGAACAATTTTATTACCACTAAATGCTTAACTAATGCCAGGAGAAGAACCTCTCACAAATGTTGTGGTATAATTTTAACTATACCTTCTACAAATTTTATTCCCAGCCAATACTACTACCCTGATCATGACATAAGCATTTAATTTAATAATATATGTGCAGTATTTTTTATTTGAAGCTATATAAAATTTCAGTATCTTAGTACATTTGATTGTTGCATCCGCGCATAGGGGTTGCACTTATGAACGGTTCTGGATGTATTTGTAATTCAAAATATGTTTTATGTATCAGAAATGTATTTTGTTTCTTTGAGGAAAATAAATATCGTTATTATTATTATTGGAAGCTAGGAATATCTTTGAGCTCTGCATGGATACACTGTCTTTATCTAACAGTTATATCAAACTCTCAGGAAACCTTGTTGGCCTTAGAAGGCAAAAAAGCATACTACAAATTATTCGGTTAAGAAACCTACCACCTCAGTCATTTCACTGGAACTGAACCTGATTTAAATATCAATGGCAATGACCGTCAACGAGTCACTGCGGTTTTCTTCTTCTTTGGTAAGAACACACCGGAAGCACTTGTCGGCGATGCAACCAGCACAGCGGTTCGTCTGAGATGGATCCCAAGCTCTCACGGGTATGGCGCTAAGACATCCATCAGTAGCGTCGGTATGTGGACCACAAAATGGGATATTTTTAGTGCCAAATAACAAAGTTATTCATAAAAGTGATACCAAATGTATTTGCAAATCCATGGTTCCGACACATAAGTGCTTATACTAGGTCATACAAGAGTAGTTTAATAATGCTGACAAGTGTATACAATTTAGGGATGATAATCAAGGGTAAGATCGTAATATATTGAACATAGAGTCCCGAAATGCTCTACTTTAGATATACAAGGCGTCAAAATAGAACACCTTTTTCGGAAAAATTGTGTTAGTCCCTTGGATATTTTTCTTTTTAAATTTGGTGAAATGTAGCATATTTTATAGATGTATCGCAAACAAATTAACAACAACTGTCAAAGAAAATGTTTAATTAAAACAGCAAATTACCATGACCATCTAGATCACCGGATTTAAGTCATAGATGTTTTCTTTGGAGCATTGGGTTTATTGAAGTTATTTTCTTATTCGTCAATTCATCCGTACTTTTTAATTATAAACAAAATTTGATAAAATCAGCTAGAAGGTTATCAAGATTTTACGAAAAAACGAGTTTTCAAAGAATGACAACCTGTATCGTGGAAACAAAACATTTCCGGACCTGGTTTTATATGAACGTTTTCCCTTAGGATTACTTCAGAAATCACCCCTTGAAGTTTGGCCATCTGGCAAAGTACCTACTTCAAAGTATCAAAGTATCATTCACAGACAGCTGGATCACATTAGCAACATTCACTGGAAAATTATTAGGAGAAAGCAAAATGACATTATTCTAGCTAGGATTGATCTTTAGGGAGTGCCTCGTACTAACAGTTCCAATATAGACTAAATCTACGTTAGCCTTATTTAATTGAAGTTGCTACATTTAAAATTGAATTTTAGTTGTGTATCATCCGCATATGTTCTTGCATATGACCTATTCTATCATTTAAATTCCTGTGCTACTGGCAATTTCCAAAACCTTTTAATTGTGATGTTTTATATATCCTGATCCCATAATGACAGTCAGACATTGTAACATATATACATACAAACATAACATCCACCTCTATAAATAAAAAACGATATTTTTTTATCTCTGTCAACTGAACCTTCTATACATAAGTAACATTTCAAACCTGTCAATTTCGGAAACTGTGTATACAAGCTTCACTGTATCTGAATTAAAAAGTTGACTCAGTTCGTAAAGTTAGCACAAGTTAACCGTTCTGAGAAAAAAGTTAGCTACGAATATGTACAACAAAAAATTAAGTGAGCCCACAACAGCATGGAAGCGACTGCCGACTGCGACGCAAGGACCATCAGCCATAGGATTGCTGGAATTGGAGGACTATAAATATACTGACGTCAAAAATTATATGATTAAACGAACTTACCTAAGCGAAGTTTAATCCTAATTATATAGAGCCCCGTCCGAAGTAAATAAGCTAGTTGTAGTATCTCGGATTGGTGTCAGCACTCACACATTTTTAAAGAAAACAAACCATCCCCTGCCCGCGGCCCTGCCTCAGTCCCTAGATGTATCGGTGCTGCCTGTTCATTCCTGTTTAAAGTTTTGTTGCAACTGTTTTGGGATGGGTTGGGTGGGAGCTTATTTACTTCGGACGGGGCTCTATATAATTAGGATTAAACTTCGCTTAGGTAAGTTCGTTTAATCATATAATTATATCTCGCCCCGTCCTCGTAAATAAGCTAGTTGTAGTTGTTTAAAGCAAGTTGCAACAAGGAAGGTAGTACGCAGTGTATAGGGGAACTTACGTTTATTAGAGAATAGTAATAACATGAAAGGTTGATTAACACTTTTATGAATCTAGTACCGCATTAGCAAAGTCCAGTTCTTTGGATAATAACGGCTTTTTATAAAAAACAGCAAACGTTTTTGACTTCTCCGTCCAGCCTGCTGCAGTCCGTATCGTATCATAGCTAACTCCTTTCCGGTCGGCAGCAGACGTAGACGCGTGTCGGGTGCTATGAGCACTAAATACATCAGTATCTACACCGCTTCTGTTCAGAACTCCTTTTAACCATCTGCTAATAGACTGTGTGGTAGCGGCTCTATGGGGTTTTTTAAAGGTTAAGAATAGGGCGCTCGTTGAGTTCCTAATTTCTTTAGTTTTTTCTATGTATGATAGCAAGGATTTTGCTGGACAGATATTAATGTCACTGGTGTAAAATGGCAATACTAAGACATGTTGAGTTCTGTTAATATTTGAGGTCTTGAGTTTCTTTTTTATTACAAGTTCCAATTTATCTGGAAAAACATGGATGTCATTAATATTAATACTTGCCAAGGTCTGTACTCGTTGACCTGTAGCCAGTGCTATTAACATGGCAGTTTTGTAGGTTAAGTTTTCCAAGTTAAGCGGACTTTGTGACAACCGTTTGATGTAATCGAGGACGATTGCTGGGTCCCATGTCTTATTGTACTTAGGCAAGGGGGGTCTTAAAGAGCTAAGGCCTTTGAAAAGTCTTTTAATCCTGAAATCATCTGATAGGTTTGGCCCCAGGATTTGAGAGATTGCGGCCCTGTATGAGTTAAGAGAGCTGAAGGAGCAACCCCGATTAAATTGTAATGTAAGAAAAGTCAGTACTGAAGGTATTGTCGCTGCATACATATTAATATTTTTGTCCCTACAAAACTGCCACCATAGCCGCAAGCCAACGTTGTACTGTGCGATAGTGGATTCGGTTATTGATGCTAGGCATATGTTCAATGATTCCTCTGGAACGCAGCCTAGCTTCAACGCTTTGGTGATACAGTTGCGGCTACCAGGGTAATGCTCTTCCAGAGGGGATGGGGAGTCCTGTTAAAGGATAGTAGATTTTTACTAGGTCGAAAAATTATTGGTTCACCTTCTGTGAGTGAGGTGAAAATGGGATACCAAGGTTGAGAGCTCCAAAGAGGGACGACAAGGATGCCCCGAGCCTTGTCTGAAATTATTTTTTGTAAGACTCTTAGTACAAGAGAAAATGGAGGAAAAGCATAGAAGAAATACTGTTCCCAGTTCAAAGTAAAGGCATCGCTTGCGAAACTTTCCGGATCTCTCAGCCATGATACAAACTTTTTGCATTTTGTATTATTCCTAGATGCGAAAAGATCTATACTAGGAGTGCCAAATTTTCTGACAATTTTGGCAAAAGCAGTTTTATCTAAAGCCCACTCGGTTTCCATTCCCAAACTGCGAGACTCTCTATCGGCTTCTTTATTGTCGCTAGAACTTATGTATGAAGCATATATAAATAAGTTCCTTTGTTCACACCACTGCCAGATAAGGCGTGAAAGTCGGTTTAATGTTGGATATTGGACACTCCCCATCTTGTTAATATATGCGATAGCTGTAGTATTGTCAATTCGACATAGAATATTGCAGTTACGTAGTTTATTTGCAAAGCATTTTAGTCCAAAAAACGCCGCTAAAAGTTCCAAATAATTTATGTGTTGATCTTTTTCGACTTCTGACCAAAACCCGTGAGTTGTTCTGCCTGTACAATTTACACCCCACCCCGTTCTTGAAGCGTCAGAAAATATTTCCAGCTGAAAATCATCAAAACGGATAGGGTTTCTTGCGGTTGGCAAATGATTTAGCCACCACTGGAAATCTTTACCTAACTCCGGGGCTATCCTCATTTTTGCAGAATAACTGCCCCCTGAGTGACGTAGCGCCAGAAACTTCTGTCGCTCAAACAATTTTGTGTATAGCCACGCATATTTAACACCCGGGCATAGAGATATAAGCTTTCCCACAAACCTGGCAAAATCTCTGATGGAACAACATTTCATGGTTGAGAACTTTTTAATTAGTTTTATTGTATTGAGAATTTTTTCGTTCGGAAGCGATACACACATATCAATTGAGTCATAAAGAAAACCGATATATTGAATTTTTTGAACGGGAACTAGTTTGCTTTTTCTGTGGTTCAGGAGGAAACCGAGTGAGATCAGTAGTTTGCTGGTATAGGAGACATTATCCATGCACTCCTTGTACGTACTGCCAAAGAGTAAGAGGTCGTCTAAATATATGACAGAAACAAACCCCATTTCTCTAAGGAGAGTCATTATGGGTTTCATTAGTTTAGTAAACACCCAAGGTGCTACATTTAGCCCAAAAGGCATGCAGTTATATTCGTATATGTTGCCTTCAAATTTGAATCTAAGGAACTTTTTGTGTTTTTCGTAAATGGGTATGAGAAAATATGCATCCTTTAGATCGATTGTACTCATGAAGCAATTTTTCGATATCAGTTTTGTTACAGTACGATGGTCTTCCAGTTTAAAATGTTTACATTCCACAAAGAGGTTTAATTTTTTCAAGTTTAAGATAAGTCTGTTAGTCCCATCATTTTTGGGTCTTATGAAAATATTTGAGAGAAACTGGCCTTTACAAGGGTTTACTAAACTGATGGCTCCGGAAGAGACTAGGTCGTTAATGCATGTTTGAAGCAGAGCCTTTTCATTGACTGACCAACATAAAGTTTTGAATTCTTGTTGTTGTGGTAAAGCCATGAACGGTATTTTAAACCCTTGGATCCATCGTAATGTGATATTTTTCTTAAAATGAAATTTCCACTTATGCAGGAAATATTTTAATCTACCAGCGCTGACCTGTGTGCGGCCTAGCGATTCGGTCTCCCGCGTTGCTTGTGCTGCTGCTGTTTCAATCTGTATTGAGGGGGAACTCTTTTGTTGTAGTATCGGCTCCTCTCTCGGTTCGTTCCCTGTTGGTATCGAGATGGAGCCCTGTGGTTCAACGAGCGAGTCGTTGCAGGAAATCGTTGGGATGAAGTAGGGGCCTGATAGCGAGTTTTGGTAATGGTTTTTGGAGGCTTTGCTTTTAGTATTTTCCTGTATTCTTCGGAACTTTTGGTTGCTTTCATTCGCTCGTCCAAGTTTTGCCCAAAAAGAAAGGTATCCAGAGGGATGTCTTTTGTGGCCTCCTGAAATTCCTTGGAGAGGTTTATTGAGATAAGTTCCCTTCTGGTTATGTTTTGGGAATGCCACAAGTCAGCCAACATTCGACCTGCATTATTGAGTAGTTCAATGTATCGTCTGTCCCCCCCCCTTCTTCCGATAACAGGAGGCTACAGACCTGGCCAATGCCAGAAAGGCTTGCCGCAACTAAAGACTGTAGTTTTGTCAGTCGCTCATCCCTCAATAAGTTAGATGGAGAAATCGCTTTTTGTACTACAGGGTTAAGCAGTGGAGCAGATAATGTTGTAAAGTTTTCAGGCGGAGGGAGTTTAGACAGAAGGGATTTTCTATCGTCATCAGATAGGCCCGTCTTCAAAATTTTTTCCCATCGAAGGAGCAAATCCTCATGAATTTTTGGCCCCAGTGGTTCAGGAGAGGTGTCTTTCTTCCCCAGTATGTCTATGACATCCTCACTTAAAGGCGCTGGGAAGAATGAAATTTCCTCGGACCTTACATCATTTTCTGAAACAACGGTGAAACTGTAGTTCAAAATAAGTGCGAGATATTGTGGGTATTAAACACATCCGGCTAGCATTCAAGCCAGGATAGAAGACACGAATAGGCTCAGTGTGATACTGAGGATAGGCTATTGCAGATGTATAGCTAAGTTTCTTACACCCGACTAGCATTCAAGTCAGGATCGAGGAAGAAGACATAGATTCATTACAATATGTCGAAATGGGTATCAAAAAGTCAATAAGTGGTCTCTGACTAGCATTCAAGTCAGGCTCAAAACAAAAATAAAACCATATAGAGTCATTACTATATGTCGGAACTGATATCAAAGTTCAATGAGCATAAATGAGTAGTTTTAACTAATTATGTCCCGCCTCTGACTAGCATTCAAGTCAGGCTCAAAACAAAAATAAAACCATATAGAGTCATTACTATATGTCGGGACTGATATCAAAGTTCAATGAGCATAAATGAGTAGTTTTAACTAATTATGTCCCGCCTCTGACTAGCATTCAAGTCAGGCTCAAAACAAAAATAAAATCATATAGAGTCATTACTATATGTCGGGACTGAGATCAAAGTTCAATGAGCATAAATGAGTAGTTTTAACTAATTATGTCCCGCCTCTGACTAGCATTCAAGTCAGGCTCAAAACAAAAATAAAACCATATAGAGTCATTACTATATGTCGGGACTGATATCAAAGTTCAATGAGCATAAATGAGTAGTTTTAACTAATTATGTCCCGCCTCTGACTAGCATTCAAGTCAGGCTCAAAACAAAAATAAAATCATATAGAGTCATTACTATATGTCGGGACTGATATCAAAGTTCAATGAGCATAAATGAGTAGTTTTAACTAATTATGTCCCGCCTCTGGCTAGCATTCAAGTCAGGATCAAGGAAAAAATGAAACCATATAGATTTATCACTCTGTGGGGGAAGTGACATCATAAATTGTATATTTTTAGCTGAGCATTTTCCTACCTGCGAGAGCATCGGCAAAAGGCGATCTACGGGTGGTTGACCTTCGAGGGGTGTTCTCATTGCTAGCAGCGTCCGACGTCGAGCAGGAGCGAGATGATGAGTCACTCGACGACGAAGAAGGGGAATTGGATATGCGTCGTATTCGAGACCGAGACGGGCGGCCTTGCTTTTCCATGGCGCGTAACCGAGCATCCAAATTGTTAATTATTTTTCGAAGTTTTCTAGTTTCGGTATCACCGGAGCGATGTCGATCGCTTCTAGTGCGTTTTGGCATATTTAAGTTCGCAGAGATCCAAACAATGTATATTAGTTGCACTAAAAAAAAGAAAAACAAAGAACTCGTTACGTCCCGGCGCGCACTGCTTCGCTGACACACAAATCGAGAATGAACAGGCAGCACCGATACATCTAGGGACTGAGGCAGGGCCGCGGGCAGGGGATGGTTTGTTTTCTTTAAAATGTGTGAGTGCTGACACCAATCCGAGATACTACAACTAGCTTATTTACGAGGACGGGGCGAGATATAATTAAGATATATCATTTGATCCAAATCCATCCCAGCGATACGTTCAAAGTTATAGACCGGCAAGGTGTAGCGGACAGAAAGACAAGTAGATCGATGGAATGAGCTCCATGGCTCTTTGTGATGTGCATGTCATATAGTATCAAAAAAACACAGTATCTCATTTTTCGCGATTACAATACTTTCTCGCCAGTCGGTGAGGGAGGTAAAATAGCATTCAAGTTAATAGTTAGCCAGTCCAAGAGTGTATAAACTAACTTTTTAATGTCTACCTCATATGCCCACGTCACTGATTTTGAGCAATCTGCTTTCACCGAGTCACGTCCAAGACATATATGCATCACCAATAGTGACATTTGATCTTACAGCTTCGTGAGGCCTGATATGTCGTGCATTTTTCATACGCTGAAATTTCCGGTAACGAGGTGTTGAAGCATATATATTTCTAGAATCTTGGATTGCAGGTCTACATTTAGACAAACCATGTAAGTTGTAAATCTAAAATAAAATGAGCCCCATCTTCTTTCTTTTCTAACCTAGATATCCAGTCTCTCAATTAGGTATGGATTCCGATAAAATTTTAGTATCTTATGCCGATTTTAACTCCTTTTACGAATTCAGATTTTCCCAGTGTACACCTGTGATGTGATATACTTCACGAAAATCGCTTCTCCAGATAAAATAAGCTGTAAAAAAACTTGAACATGTTACACGTTCGACGGTGATGGCATTTCCCTTAATGGTACCAGACCAACGAATTTATCTTTCTGAATCCTTTGCAGTCACGTTGCTCACGAAATCCATTCACTGCTCTTTCCATTTTTATCTTTATTACCTTCAGTCGCTTTTACGATTTTAGAATGTTCGTTCTTACAATGTAGAACTCTGGCATATTACGTATTTCACACATGATAGACTTCTTTGTGAATACTGAATGTTTATATGCAGTTTCTATTTCGCTACAAGTCTAGAACCTGCAAAGCAATACGGAGGCCTGCAAAAACACTTAAAAAACTGAGATGGTTAACAAATGTTTACATCTTATATGTTTTTTACTTCCCATGCCGCACTGGAGAGAAAATTTGAATGTTATACCTATGGTAAACGAAAAACTTACTTACACTTAATCCCGTCTGTCTATTTGTCGGTATGTCTTATGGTACATATGTCTGTCCGATAGGCCTGGGACCGCCAATAACTTGCTCAGATTTTGATGAAATTTACACACAAGGTTAATACCATGCCAAGGACGAAAAAGCTTTGTAGATTTTGTAAACCGGTATAGTGGCGGCCGAGAAAAAGTTAAAACCGTTTTTAATTCTTTTTTTATGTTTCAGAGGATCATTTTTATATCGCTATTTTTTATCTTACCATGTTAATACACTTCTAGCCCCAGTAATTCTACGCACTCATTAGATGTGTAGACATATTTCGCACATCATACATTTTCCAATACATTTACCCTTAAGATAAGAGAAGAGAAGATAGAAAAATGTTTTTGACAAGCGTCCATGTGTCTGCTGCTGACTTGAATGGTCGGCGTGCTGCTGTTCATATGTGTGCTATCATGGCTGGTGCTCTGAAGGAGCATCTGACGCGTCGTGCATTTAGGTATTGCAAAGAGGCGACGTGACGTTGCCAGATGGACGTTACTATGGGTAGGACAGTGAAATAATGTTATGGATTGATTGTATGGACCTGACCGTTTAATTTCTCTGGTATACATTGACTAACTTTTTCCTCAGAAGGTCTACCTTGAACATGCAGCTTTCGTCAGTCCGACCAGTGCTTTGTCGGCAACTCATCAGGTCTCTGGGACAACGAACGAAAGCATAGCAATTATCTTCTGTCCAGGATATAAGGTCTATGGCGCTGACTTATTTCGATCGGGTGTAGCTTGTGCTGAACGTTTATGAACTGATGACGGCGTTGCGTGGGAAATGTAGAGTGACGCGATTTTTTCTAGAATGTATACTAAGATCTTTCCTAAATATCAAATGCATGAAATTTGTCACCATCCTACAGGCTTACAGGCCCAGTTAAATAGATTGAAGCATAGTTGTCAGATGTTCAAAGTGATGGGAAAAACAGTTCTATGTATGGATGTTTTGAAAAGTCCAAGAAATGGATGATCTATTAAGAATTGTTTACTCCCCAAGCTTTACGCTTTACGCTCCTTCCCTCCTATGGGCGCCCATGGAACTGTGTTTCTTTTGGCGCCATACGCTTAGGCACCTTCAACTCCTCATTAGTTCTAGAGACAAACATATTTCCTTCAATACTATGAAAAATAAGATGCTGAGAGTATTAACATTTGATCTCCCATTTGTGTCCTCAGAAGTATTTAAGATTAAATGATGAATAATTAATATACAATCACCGTGTAAAGGAAAACGATAAACAGAAAAGAGCTAATAAGTTGATGTGAGTAGCCCAATATGGATATATTGAGGTACTTGGATAATCAAATATACAGAGACGTCAAACGCAAAACACCAAACTACGCTTTACAATTACTCTACTCATTAATTATTGCCGTTGTAAATGATACCCACGATATAATAAATTGCCACAGACACATATATGATCATGACTGCAATTGCAAATATATCTCCAAGGCTACCACTGGGACAAACTGAATATTTGATAGCATATACACAAAACTGGTCATGTGCGTAATATAAAGTTATGACGATGATTTGCTTAGACAAAGGTAATAAGGAAAACAGCAGTTAAGTTAAGGAAAATGTGGGATGAAACTGGAACAATGACCTGTAACTAAAAGTTAAGGATAACGAAGCCAATGGTCGGTTACATCATGCACGAACACATATAGGCGGGCCATAGAAAGCAAAAGAGATGTTTCAAAGGTTTCCCTCAAAGGGTTTGGTGAAGACTGCCGCCCACTGCCGCCAGATGAGTGTCAAGTGAACACGATGAAAAGTTGGGCAGAGTAGTAGAGAACACTCAGTTCAGACACAGTTACAAACACAGCAACCGCATTAAGAAACTGGGTGAAATGTTCGTCTTTTTGACTGACCATTGTCTATTCAGACCACACTTTTACAAAGTAAGAAACGGTGAATCAAAACACACCGAGGTTCGAGATTTTTAAGACAACATGAGATAGCACAGACTGTTTTCCTCGGACTTGCCAATATACATTGAAAGCATGATGCCGACAAGTCAAACTGGCAAATATCATAAAAGCTACCTCAATTGATCTCCTGACTCCTGTCAAATTTCTTCATTTTATATACAGGGTTATCCAAATTAAGTGTCCACCATTAGTAACTTTGTTATTAGTGAAAATACAAAGTTGTTTGAATTAGCAAACTAGTAGCATTTTTAACGCTGGTAAAAATGAGAAATAAAAAAAAACAATTGAGAGTCGTTATTTTGATTTTTTTCAGTAAAATAACATTTTTTTAAATGGAAACCCCTGTATATTATATTTTTTTCTGTTAAAGCATCAAATTTTAAACAAAAAAGCTTACAATAACTTTTCTCCTAGGTTACAAATTGTTGAAGTTATGGCCTCCAATCTGAAACAATTAAATTGTATCGACAAACTTTATTTTCAACATCAACTTATAATCTTACAAAATACAATAACAATTTTTTTTAAAGAAGATGCTCGAAAACACCACCTTGTTCTTCAATACATTTTTGGGCACGTTTTTCAACTGCTCGAACTGTCTTAAGTATGGTCCTACCATCTATCTGGGTTATCTTTTCCCTAACTGCAGTCTTTAACGCGTCAAGGTTATCGTACCTTCGCTTGTAAATTTGGTTCTTTAAGTAACCCCACAAGAAGTAATCAAGTGGGTTTAGATCTGGTGATCTGGGTGGCCACTGTATTGGGCCATTTGTTCCTATCCACTGATCATTAAAAGTAGTACTTAGAAAATGATAAGTACCTCTGGAGTTGTGGGCAGGTGCGCCATCTTGCTGAAAATGCAGATGATGTCTACTTATAAGATCCAATTCGTCTAAGAAATTAGTCAGAATTTCTGACATAAATTCCACATATCTTTCACCAGTTAGGGTTCCCTCATAAAAGAACCGGCCAACAATTTTTGAACCAATTATACCGCACCAAACGTTGAAACTGAAACGGACTTGTGGGCCTCTTGGATGTACTAACAAAAGATTTTCTCTTGACCAATAATGGTGGTTTTTTCTATTAAACATTCCAGAATTTGAAAAATTTGATTCATCTGTCCATAAAAGGTAACGAAAGTTATTTACATTTTGGCGACAGAAGCTAAGATACCAATGGCAAAAAACAAGTCTTCTCTCTGGATCCCCTGCCAAAAGCGTTTGAACTGGTCGGTACTTATACGGAATAAATTTGTATTTTTTTAAAATCCTTTGAACAGTACCATAACTGAAATTAGAGTCCTTGAGAATATCTGCTATTGAATTCTCACGATAAGCTTCAAAATATCCAATAACTGCAATTTCCGTGGCCTCGCTTATTATGAATTCTTTTTTTGCCCTTGTTTTAGCAAAAACATTTTCGTTCCCCTAAATTTTCGATAAAGTCTCAGAAAATATCGTTCATACGGTTGAATGCGAGCGGGATATAATTCACTGTAGTATTTTCTTGCTCTCAAGGAGGATTTTCTGCACACTAAATAGCATTCTAACATATCACACTTTTCTTCATGGGAGAACATTTTTCTTTAAATTAATGACACAATAAAGCTTATAAACAAGTATTTACACTAATGTTTGACATTATTTGATTTTATCATTGTTTTCCAAAGCCTTCTAGTTGCGAGTATGTCCAGTTTAACAATTTGTCGCTTATCTTAATGCTGTCAAATCGCGAACGCCATGTTGTTTTCATAGCCGTCTTAATATTATAATACTGCAAATAATTAAAAATATTTATCGTTATTTTGACTTTATTTTTGACTTTAGCGGAAAAGTCATTATGAACTTTTTTGTTTAAAATTTGATG